TCGCCACATATCGCCACAGCGCCACAACCCGATTTTTCCAAAATATCAGAAAAACACATTTTTTGCATTTTGTTGATGTCGCCACATATCGCCACATATCGCCACAGCGCCACATCCCGATTTTCCCAAAATATCAGAAAAAATACTATTTTTTGCCATTTTTGATGTCGCCACATATCGCCACAACCCGTTTTTCCCAAAATATCAGAAAAACACGGTTTTTCTTTTTTTTTGCAATTTTTGATGTCGTCACATACCAAACCATCAGAAAAAACCACATTTTAAAAACATGTTGGTGTCGAGTGTCGCCACATTTGCCACAGCGCCAGAACCAACTTTTCCCAAATATATAGAAAACTGTTTTATGTTTTTTTTGCACATTGTGTATATCTCCACTCATTGCAAATGTTTGCCACAATACCGCCACAATGTCGCCACAGAAGAGCTTCTCTAGATAGCTTTTGTTGTCACAAATCATAGATGGATAATGGATCAATCTGCCACTTCACTAGACTCTTGCAATACAATCGGCTCCTACTCAAAATGAATAGCTAGCACATCAGTGCATCCATGGAACAACTTGCCACACTCTGAAAAGGGAATGTCGAATTGTTTACAAGCATCGGAAACGTGCATCCGCTCAATCAATGTAACTCGCTTCGGGGCCAATCTCTTCGATGGGTTGTAGCCTCAATTCCACCGGGAGTGCGGGGTGAAACTGTATTGTAAGTTCAGTTCGGTTCAGTCAGTCGTTGTTAAGTCATGTCCACAGAACTCGGTGTATCATTGTCATTGTCTCTTCAATACAATGAGACGATACCATGCGAATGCGACAAGATAGGATATTCACTACAAACCAAGGCACCAAGCTGAAACACCACATGCGTGATGTCTCGACACCGGACCTCCCAGTGTCGAATGGCCGCTCGAATCTCAACGTGTTTGTGACCATCTCGAATCTGCTGATACCAATGCGATGAAAGTGGCAAAGTCAACGATTTGACTCTGACTCTGATGTCCTGGGTAGTAGAAAGGATTGGGCAACCACTAAATAAGCTTGCCAAGAGAGTGATTCTTAGGTTTGGGCAGCTTCCTGCCTTTGGGCCTGAGCGATGACGCACTCTGAGCAAAAAGACAAACACACAGCATCAGCAGCACACTAGCTGGTCATGGTCTGAACCAAATCTGATTGCTGGTTGGAGTGATTGCACTTGTCCAAAAGGAACAAAGTGGACGCTGAGATTTCGACTCCATCATCCGGTGTGAAAGAGGTCACAGGAACGAACTTGGCAGTGAATCAATGAATCGTCGGGACATCAAATAACAATTCATATTCCATAGTTGAGACTCAACCACATTGAGATTGATCATTGATCCAAAATGATCCAAGCCAGCGGCATCCAATGGGTCGACATCATCAGCTCCGATGTCAACATCCATTCCACCACCTGAGTTGCACATACTGTCAGCCATGTGACAGTCATGTGTCATGATGAGTTTGATGAATGACTCTGACTGAACTTGTTGCAAACTGAGTAAGTGTGGCTCCCAACACTTTCTTTTTCGCAAAAGCCGCAAAGGCAGTCAGCCACATCTTTCACAGTGTGGTATTTCGACTTGCACGCGCAACCTGAAATACCAGTCGCTTCTTGCAAGCAACGGCATGAGTCAGGTTCCGATTGGACTGAACTCAAAGTTCTCAAGTGTTGGTCAAAATCACTGATGGCATGCGGCACTATGATGATGGCATTGCCAGGACTCAAGTAGTCCTTCTCACTTTGGTTGGAGGCGCTTCCAAGTCTTCCCGCTCTGCGTCATCTGCAGAGTCTGGAAGATGATCATACTCAAATTGCGCACCCTGCTCAAATGCAACCGGCTCCTCCTCCTCCTCCATGTCTTGGTCGCGGATGGCAGCTGGGGATGGAATGCGCACGCGGTATACAGGTTCTGAAAAACTTCTTTGCCTGGGTCTGGGTGTAGGAGGCATGCTGTCTCCCTGACCATCGCCGCTGCAGTAGTGGAAGTAGTTGTGGTGATGCACGTTATGATGGTGCGTGGTGTATAGATGCACGTGTCGAATGGTGAGCTTGTGGTGATGGTGATGGTGCACGTTGTGGGAGTTGTCAGTGTTGCGGTAGTGTGCATGTTTGTGGGTTGTGTGGAAGTGGAATGCGTCACTGTGGTGGTGGTGGTCGTTGTGATGGATATGCGTAGTGATTGGTCCAACACCATTGCCATAGCGCGCTTCCACAGCTGCTTCAGCATCATTTGGATTCAGATTGGGCTGGCGAGTGATCATGGCGCAATAGTCGGGAGGTTCTGAGGCAGCATCTTCTACCTCACACTCTGATGCCAATTGGCTCACCACCTCAAGGGTCCCAGCCGGGGACATCGACCCCCCTTCACTTGAGGAGCCTTCACCATCGCCAATGCGTGTCTCATCATCATTGCCGTCAACCGCCTCACTTGGAATTTCCCATGAATCGCTCCCATCATCAGCGGCACCCCGTGCAACCACCAGGACGGATTCATGATTTGCAGTTGCAGTGGCAGTGCTTCTTGAGTGACCTTCATCATCATCCAGGGTTGAGCCTGCGTAGCCTGAGCGAGTCGCCACCATGATAATGCGGATCTGGATGCCGCACCTGTTTTCAACTGGACGGGGACCTTCTTTTGGGCCAAACTCTGCGCACTGCACGGCATTAGGATGCACTGCGTCAGCCAAAAGAGTGTCACAACTTTTGGCAGCTGAGTCTTGGGCAGAGTTTCGGCCCTCACCCAAGCCGAACCATAGTCGTGTCAAAAGCTGTTTGTCAAAGTGCGCGCGGATTACAGGTGAACAATTACAAGGCAGGCAGGGAGTGTCCCGCCTTTGATTGGTGATTGATTACTGACAGCCAGTGGCATGTGGTTTGTTCCTGCTGTGAGTAGGAGCAGACATAGCGGCGCGGCGTCAAGTAGTGAGCAATGCATTGCACTGCACTTTTCACTGCTAGAGTCTAGAGTCAGAGTCAAAGTTTGTTAGCTAGGCTAAACTTGAGAAATTCTTTTGTTACCGCGCGGCGCTCAGTGTCTTCCCCATCTTGTGCATCTCACAAGGCCTTGCCTTGGAGCCTGCCCTCCCCTCATTAACCCAAATCCAGCCCAATTGTGCAAACACAGCCAAACTGGGCTGAAATCTGATTGCGGACGATCAATTCACTGAAACTGAAACTGACAATGAGCAACCGGCACTAGTAACTTTGGCAGGCAAGGTTTGAAGTGAAACTGCAACGGTCTCCAACAACAATTGATTATTGATTTGATTTAATGATATGATATGGAAAAGTTTCGAATTTCTGTGCCAGTCACATGTCGATAAAAAATCTGCATTGAAACGAATTTGAGAGAATGCCAAACAAACAACTGACTCACACACAGCCAAAGGCAAGCGATGCGATATCAACGTGTGGCTGCCTTTGGCTTTGGCCTGCGCCTGTGGTTGTACCACCCCCGCGGTAAGGTCTTCATGTGGTCTTCAGCACTCTTGAATGACGGGCCATTCGCAATCCATTCCAAAATGATGTGTTCATCAGGACTGCTGGTGAGGGGCCATGTGGCGTAACAATCATTGTTGTGCAGTTCACAAACACCCTGCACAGCAGGTGGGTCCCAGTGAAGGAAATACGATATTTTCCCACACCGTGCTGTGCCACGCAACACAGCTGTGCCCTGTCGCACAACCTCACCAACTGATGATGATGGCTGCTTGACCACGTATTCATCAGCAGCCTTCTTGTCTGAATCCTGAATGAAGGACTCCAATTCATACTCAGCTTCAAGCTCACACGTTTTCTCCGCCATCCACTCATCCTCCTGTTTGTTGAAGCTCAACTTCTAGTGACACGACATATTTTTTGTTTGTCAAATTTGTCATAATATCAATATAATATATATTATCATTCATGAATCATTCAAACAACATAATGTTTGCCAACCCTCAACTGATTGTAGTTGGTTACAAACAGCTGCGCAAGTGTGTCTGAAAGCTGGGCCGCCTCAAAAAAATCAGGAATGATTTCCGGGAGTTCATCATCTGCAATAACATCCAAGGGGTCCGGGTCCAAGTCGTTGTCCATGGAGTCTAGGGCTTGAACCTTCTCCAAGGGCCACCTCCGTGAATCAAAGGCATCATAAATCAGCTGTTTCTGCTTTTAGCAAGCTTCTGAACGAACATCCCAGAAAGACATCAATCAAGGGTGCCACACTGCTGAAGCGACATCTGAAAGCTTGCCAAGTTCATCAAGATCTTGGCCATCCGGGCCATCCGGGATTGTCACATGAACGACAGCCAAGGACCTAGCAGCTAGCATTTGATACAAACCCCACACAGTCACACACGGTTACTCACTGTATCACTGATAACTGAAATTGAAATTGTAATTTGGTTTCGGCTTTCGGTTTGCTTTTCCTGTCGTTGGAACACAAATCCACAAGCAAGCGGCGGGTGCAAAGGCAAGGTCTTCTGTGGCAGCAGAACCCTCAACCAAACACCAACTGGACTCAGACCACCGCTTGAACTTGCCCCCAACAGATCACCAGCAAGCTCCAAGGACGTCTTGAACTTGAAGGGGGTTATGAAATGGAGAGCGTTCCTGCATAGTTAGACTCTATGTGACTGCATGTGGCTCCACTTGCAGTTTGAATTGAAAAGACAAAGACTTCGCCCTTGGCCCTACTCACCAGTCCTTGTACCCGAGCAGCGGACCATTTCCATCAAGACTGCGAACTGGGGACGAAGGACTGCCTTTGCCTCAATGAAAAATGAGAAGCAGAAAGAGCTAAGGCTAAGGCCATGACAACCCACTGATATGATGAAACAACACCAATTGGAATTGACAGTTAAGCTGTGCTACCACAGCAAAATATCTCACACTGTGTTGGAGACCTCCTTCTGGCAGCGCGGATGAACTGGAAGAACCACCGCTGGAAGCACCTGATGACCCTTTCTGTGTGCAACAAACCTGAATAACTGTATCGCCTGACAGGAGCACATCTCTGGAAGTCTTGTCATCAAACGTCTTAGCGAGGCTCTCCTTAATAAGCTTCATCATCTGACTGTGCAGCGCAGGATGCTTGGCCTGCATTGGGTGTCCGGTACAAATTCCCTTCCTCCAGCACGCAGGCACAAATGCGTCTGAGAGTGATTTGATTTCGGATTGCAACTGACTGGAATGATTTTCCGGCGGAATGAACTTCTCAAAGACCTCGTTGGAAGATGTCCTATTGTAGCCCCTCTTCCTGACACAATATTAAGGCCGACATAGGAGCTGAGTGAGTGCTCAGCAGAAAGAATCGAAGAACATGGTCGGGCCCGGCCTCATCTCCGTGATTGTGCCCACACTGATAGGGTAGTCTTGAGTGCATGGACACTCCCAAAGTCCAATCCTGATGGTGAACAGTTCTGTCTCTGAACCAGACATCAAGGTAAGCTAAGCAAAACTCCTCAGTAATTTCTCAGTGACCATTTTTTTGTAGCGCTGAGTATGACGACCAAACTGACCCTACTGCTAAATGTTGCCTGCCGATGCCTTTTTTTTATTTGGTATCATCATCACTACATGATGGCATCCAATCTGTTGTGTTGTGTTGCGTCATGTCATTTATGTATCCGTTGCTTGACGCTGTCCGTCTTGTTTGTCTCGTTGTCAGGTTTTTTCTAAGCTGTAAGCTTCTCATCAGCATCCGTCGCCGGCAAGCAATCCTTTTCAAGAAATGGCTGGACGCAGTACTAGAACTAGGCACTACTGCCACCAAAAAATGGGTCACTCACCACTCTGTCCTGCTGCAGGCTGTCTTTCCGCACTTGTTTCACGAAAGAATTCTCGGCCTTCGCTGCCTGCTTCATGCCAATCATGGTTTGAGGCAGGTCCTCACGCTGACTGCGCCAACATGCAACATAGAGCATACAAGAAGAAGAATGCCTAGCTGCAACTGGATGCGACTAATGCGACCCCTGTCCTTCACTGCATGCTTGGCAAAAAACTTGAAAGCGGGCGACGCCATACCTTTTGCAATCTCTGAACCTGAATTAAAAGCTGTCTGTGAACCCCAAACCGAACCATCATCAGCCTAGCCTGGCCTAGAGTTGACAACTGAGCCCAAAACGGTCAGTGCAAATTCTTTTGAATTGGGCCCACAAGTGGGAGTGAACCTTCCATACGATCAACTGTAGTGCAAATGGTATGACCTTGCACTGACAGTAGTTATTCAAATCTTGAGTCTCAAGCAGTCTTAAGTCTTGTCAGTCTTAGTCTTGTCTTACTTATTATATTGTCTTTTGCTTTCTGCTCCGGAGAATTTGCCTTTCCTACCCACGCAACACACACTGCTAAGGTACCCCCGCCTCGTCTTTTGGATGTGGATAAATCCTTTACCACACGGCGTCGATCTTTTTTTCTTGGTGACAGAAGGCGCACACGATGTCTGGTCCAAGACTTTGGACTGCCTGACAGCACTCAGACTCTGACTCTGACTCTGACCACCACAAAATTTGGACTGGTTGGCGGGAGTCTGGAAACCATTACAGTACAGCAGCACAGAGTGTCAATAGTCAACAGTCAGTCAAAGTCAACAGTCAAAGTCAAATGGTAATTAATGGAGTTTGTCACTCCTTTGTTGACTGAGGGCCAGACTCGGCCATCAGGAGCTTGTGCTGCTGGTGGACGTTGTGCAGAACAGAATCAGAAGCTATCAGAGTGAAGGCTTTCCCTCGACCCAAGTGCTTGCTTGCCAGTGTCAAGGCCTGGTTGAACCTATGCCAACATTCCATTTGGAATATGCCAAGACGAGCGCTTCGAGAGGCAGTGGCGATGACTCGAAGAAGCAAGCGATTCTTAGCCTCCTCCTCCAGTGGCAACCTGCTAAGTGCCTGCGCAGCACTGTCAAGAGCCAAGTCAAGCGGCAAAGTCACATGTGACCCAGCTCAGACTAGACTAGACTCGATGGACACTCTTGAATATGGATTCCAAACTTTGTCAATCTTGGCCCACGCCGCTCCTTGTGCAAAATGCGACCAAAGCCTGGATCCTTACAGCAAGGTTTTGAAGCGTGGAACCTGGCCCAAAGCGACTGGCCTAGGAGTCCATTGGTTGTTTGATTACTCTGATTCCCTCTCAAGCTGTCTGGATCAGGATTAATGTAATTAATGATTCAGAATTCTGAATGATTAACTGATTAACTGTTAAACTGCTGAGCAACCCACCACAATCCGAGCTGAGCTCCCTATTGGCAAGGCCAAAATAGAGCATTGGCGGGTTCTTCAAAAGAATTTTGCTTTGATCTGGGGTTTGGGTATGATCTGGGGTTTGGGCCTTCTGTCTGCAGAGAGAAGATTCTTCAGCTTTGCTTTGCCTTGGATTGTGAGAAAACTTGAACCCTTATCAGCTTTGCTTTGAAGTTGAACTGTGAGAATCGTTTTCAGCTCTACCGTGCTGTTGAATTGTGAGATGAGACTGTTTCAACTTTGCTTTGCTCTAGGATTCAGCATGATATTTGAAACTTCCGCCCACAATTTTTTTTCGTAAACTAGGAGGGCTTGCGCTGAAAAACGCACGCGAAATGGGGACACGAGTCTTGTGTGAAGATTTGAATGCCAGTTGAACGTTTCAAGTTTTAGAGTCTGACTAGGTTAGAAGTTTTGCGCGTTCATTTTTTGTGTTTCGGATTCACCCCGCAGCCGCAGCCGTTTGTGACCCACCTGGACCCATTCCCATGTCTGCGCCCACAGCTGATTCAGATGTGCCGTTTGACGCGCGTGTGCACGCTGGGGTGTTGTCCTACTACTCCGAGCTCCAAGCACGTTTGCTCGCGTGCAGAAAAAT